TCTCTCTCTCTCTCTCTCTCTCTCTCTCTCTCTCTCTCTCTTCTCTCTCTCTCTCCCCGTTTCTCTCCGTTCGTACTGGCGTCGCGACGGAGGACGGACGGACGGCCGTGCCGAACGAGGACCAGCGCACCAGACTGGGAACGTCAGAGTGCCCTCCGACTTCGTCGCGTACGCATCCCTGCCTGCCTGATCACGGCTATCGGCGCGATAGACGTTGCGAATCGTTTTACGATTACATTACGGGGATACACGCCCGAGGACAACGCGGTGTCCGGAGTGTCCTCTCGTGCCGCACGTCGGTTGTGAATGGACTTGTGATTTTGTGCCTGTCCGAGGAAGCACGTTCGCAGTCACAAGGAGCGAAACGGAAATTGAAAACGACGGTAGTGCAATCCGGTAGATCGGGAGAAACTCAACTTCATTTCGCGCGAAATTGCAGAGCTCGTCTTCAAGGGAAAGCCTCTTCGGAGTTCCCTCGATTATATCATCACGGAATTTCAGCCCGCTCCTCGGGAATTATCTCCGAAAATTCATCGGTGGAAACATCCGGTCTGATTATTGAGAATTCCATTACGCAGTGCTGGAGAAGATATCCTCTGGAAAATCGGTTTTATTCGAGAATTTTGTTTCCGCGCGATCGTCATTATATTTAATGACCGCGATCAACGTGTCAACGGCAGAGATCGCTCGATAGAGATTCAGCGTGAAGTAACGTGACTTTTTGGTCAGTGCGCAGGAATAAAAGGCGGTGGATCGTAGATTCGGATCGTACGATCGATAGATCCTCGATCTAGGATGGACATCTGGAAGAAGCGACGCTCGTAAAGTTTCCGGTAACGCGTTTCGAAGCGCGGTGCTCGTATTCTCGCTCGCAGTCGACGAAATCGCGGGAAAATCGAAAGAGAACAAAGCGTTGTGTATTTCGAGCAGACTGACGTGTCGGCGGAAAATAGCAGGCGATCGAATACGATGCGTTGAAGAAGCATCGATCATCGCAAGCCAAAAACGGGAACGGCCTAGGCGCGCTGGACATTCAATTAAATTGTTTCATCGTTGAAAACGGGACGGGCTGATAGTAATAGCGATAAGGAATAAACGAGTGACTGTAAGAGAAAGAGAGAACCGAATAGAGTGGAATCGCGTGACTCGATCAGTTCGAAAATATTACGAAGTACGAGCGACAAATATCGCGATGTGGCTGCGAAAAGGCGTTCCGCTATCGCAATAAGAGAATCTAAACGTATTCGTGCGAGAAAAGAATATTTGAACTACTTTCGGAATATCTGGTGATTTCACTGTGAAAGGCGTAAAAAAAAGAAGAATACTCAGAGAAATTTTTTTCAAAGCCTATCGCCGATAATAATAGTGATACCGCTGAATCGAGATAACCGAGTATATATTCGCGCGGAAAATTAATATCATAGAACGGTATTACAATACGGTACAAAAGCGAAAATTTTGACGTTCGTGCGGCTGGTGCTACTACTATATTAATTGCCCGTCGTAATTGGGGTTCGTAAGGATCGCGCTTAATTAGTTTGGGTTTCTATCGTGAACGATGAAGTGGTGCGTGTTGGTATTGGCGTTCGCCAGTGTGAGTAGAGGCGATAAAACCAGCCTCTTCGTCTGCCCGGAACTGAATGCTCAAGAAGAGATAGATCTCGACAAGGTATGTGCGCGGCCCGGCCCTGTTCGCCACCGTTCTCTTAAATTCACAAACGCGACACCAACATCTCTCTATGATTTCTAGTTTCTGGCATATTAAATACATATAATTGCAGGTTGCTGTATTCTTATCCGTCCGTAAATTTAACTTGCACTCGGCCCTTATCGCTGGATGCGGGAATATTTAGGAGACAGAGGGCGAGCCAGTTTGTAACTTTAACAGCGCGCGCTTGAAAAGGAACGACAGTTGCAAAAGACCGGCATTTTTTCTGACACGCGTATCGCGTATCTAGTTGTTACAGATACGTAAGATGGTGTTTGGATAAAATGTCTCGGCAAGAGGATAATATATCAAGCTTTTAATATGTTCCCCGTCACAAGCATTACCCGTGATGCTCGCCGATAATTTACTGCTGTGTCATAAGCATCACTCGTGGCTCTGTGCGCGGTATACATTCGCCTTGATATAACTTTCGGCAGTTTTGCATTTCGGAAAGGAAAATGTTTGCCATGGCTGCTATCACTTTGACATTAGCACGCATGACATTTGTCAACATAATTTTACGTATTGGCACGCGGCAATCGATTGCCCTAACACGTTAATTAATTATTACATTTAATTTTCTGCCCATTAAATAGAGATAAACTTTATCAATATTATATTATCGTGCCAATTTTCTCTAACGTTTGTTTAATATATCAATAAATACGTTATGAATGTGCGGAAAATATTCATAATATTATATTGATTATATGACTATTTGTACAAGAGAGATGCAATTTAAAACGTACAACTAAAGTGGGAAAAATAAGCTTCTCCATCATCTCGCTGTTCAGAAAATATAAAATTCGAGATGACAGATTCAATAAGCTGGACATGTCGATCTTGTCACTGATGAGCGCGATATTAATAATGGCGTGAAGTATCGTTTCTGAAATCCTGTTTGACGAAGTTTATCAATGAAAAATAATAAATATAATAAACAGATAAAAGGAGAGAGAAATATCATATTGGAAAAGAAATCGTTAATTCATTGAAATGCGAGCTCTTACGCTCAAGCGTATATACAGTCTTGTTTGGATTCCAATTTGTTCGGCTACAAATTTTATTCAATCCAAAAAAAGAGTATAACGTTTGTTTTAACATCGATATATCAACGGTATCTGCTTTATAAAAAATTAAAAAATTTGAATAAATAAAACGTTAGAAATATAGATGGATAGAAAAAGATCTGTAGTTTTCATTTAATTTCAAATATATACCAATTTTATTCAAGAGAATTTTAATTGAACCCGAGCGAATCGACTCTCAAAATTTACTAAGTATGCGTCCTGCAGAATTTTTAAAACGATTGGAAAACGTTAGTTTTGCTTGTATGTCGCTCAAAAATAGTCGGTGTATATACTCCACCCTGTATATGCATGTACACGCAACATGGCACGTTCATTGATTAAACCAGATTTAACAGCGCTGTGTGTCACGGCCTCAAAAAGCAGGTCAACCTTCCTTACCAAAAAAAGCCATCAGAATTTATTTCGCCGGTTAATGGACGTATGCTAATTTGCATTTTAGTACATGAAACATCACTTTCAGCTTGCGCCGTGCGTTACGCGTTGTGCAGCGACTTTTTCAGCGCTTAAACAGATTAAGATGCAAATGCCGCCAGCAGATTTCAATATCTTTAAGTCCCGACGATTATAACAGGATTATTCTTTTCTTTTCCGTTAATATAGAGAATGTGGCTGTGCACGCAAGTATTACAATTGGACCTGCAATCGTTATGAACGAACCGCATAATGGTTAGCAGTTGGGCGAAGCTTAAAGTATCGTTAATTCAAAACAATTACGAGTTCCTGGCACGCTGCCTCTACGAAGTTGTCGAGCCACTCCTGCTTATATAGTTACATACGGAGTGCATTAAGTGCCGGTCATAATTTAAACGGTCGCGTCCAAGACTTGTAATTCCAATCCCATGAGGTTAGCTACGCGCGGGCGTAATTAACGGGCCACTTTTTTCCGTGTACATAACTTTTCATCATGTAGCGGCATGTAGAGTGCCATAAAAATTATTAAATCAAATTATTAAATTCAAACGGGGGTACAAATATTTCGAGAGTCATATTAGTCAATTAACCAACTTAGAGGTACGCAATTTTGAAATATAAAAATGTTCCAATTATTTGGAGTGTTGAAGTATCAAGCTTTTTACTGTGCTCTATTCGCTGATTTGTATAGCGTGTGTGTAATACTCTGATAAATATATATATAGCTTTGTCGATACTTATCGGGCACACGATGTATAAGGTTATCAAAGTCATGCTGGCTTAAAGCTTCACGCAGGGTGCATTAAGTGATCGTTATGAATTAAATCGTCGTGTTCAAGACCTGTTATTTCAATAGAACAAGGTTATCCGTACACTAACGTACTAGATATGGTCCTTCTAAAATTTGCATTTGATGTATCACTGGCGATTCGAAATCTTTCAGTACCAATAAATGATGGTATAAAAAATTACAATTTTAGTCAAATCCTATTAATATCAATAATAATTAATGAACAAAATCTTAAAATATTTTTTTTAATTATTTATGTCGCTTAACTTCGTAATATCAAGAATCTTAGATTATGTTTCGGTGAAATTTTTCTCCTTTATAACCGAATAAAGCAGGATCTAAAAAGCAGACAAAATGGTCCTCGTTTACACCTAAAAATTCTGAATGTAAGACTTGAAGGTCTTAAAGAGAAGCATCTTCTTTTCATCTTTTACGTCTAACTTTCGTTCTTCATATCTAAAGTAGAAATATACGTAATACGTAATATCTAAAATGGAAATAACTCGAGGTCCGGCGCTCAAAAAAGATCCTTCGATGTAGTATAAATTCCTTAAGTCCTACAAAAGTAGAATGTAAAAGATATCGAAGGTTAATAAAATTTTTCTCATGTATTACTTTATTTTCTCATCAAAAATTAACAAAACCTAATCCTTCGTCAACAATCTGGGTGTTTTAAGACACAAGCAAAATTACGATTGCCGACAAAGGGTTAATAAAATACTCGTATAAAATTACAAAATCTTTTTTTATCGTAAAGCGGATTTATTTCGTTGTGTTATCAATTGCCAGACAAACATACTTTTAACTCACTTTGATATTGCTTTCCTTTGCTCTAAAAATTTTTGAAAATCAACGAATCGCATGCAAGAGATGTACTGTGATTCTCTTTGAGGATGGAATCTTAACAAAATTTTCCTCAACGTATATTTCATAAACTATCTCATTCCTTCGTCTGAATGCTACCGAGTTAACGTTTGAAAGGCCACTTTTCTCGTACTCTTCTCATATCCTTCGCGACTGGACTTACGCTACATTATTATCAAAGCTCTTATCGTCCAGTGAACTCTCACGATGTTTCTTTTTTCGTCGTTCAAAAGGATTTCTACTGAACTGCATTTTATAGGTGTGTAATGAACCAAGAGAAAAATCTCGACTTGTTTATGATCCATGGAAATAAAAAAACGAAAAAAATAATATCTGTATCTAAAGAAATGAATTCAAAAATACATTTTACGCAAAAAATTCGGTATATCGACCTCAAATACGCATTGCATTCTAAAAAGAAATAAATTATTATATTTTTTTGATTTATTTGATCTAATCCTAATCAAACATTAAACAGGCAATTTGAAAGAACTAAATTAATTAATTAATTTGGTAAATTAAAATTTTCAGTTGTGTATTTTGCATTTTTACATATAATTTATTACTTCGTGAAATATTTTCAGAAAATTCAATTTGCATCTTAACTCACTTCTAAGTCGTTTTCTGTTACCTTCAACGTACTTAATGACTTTTTCCTTAAAATCGGCGTTTTGCTACATGAATAAAGGAGACTTTTGCAACGGACTTGTGCTCGCGTTTTAGAAATAGCATGAAATAAACTGTTCTTGTAAATGGTTCGCCTGTCAGCTGTTGAGGGTGAGTGTAACTGCAAACTGCATCTGCGGTGCTTTCATCTGCAACCACGTCGTAACGTGCGCGAAATCGCAGCTACGTCGGCGGCGAGGTAGGCGTTATCTTGCTTGTAAAAAAAAAAAGAGAACTTTCCTCTGCGCTTTCTGTTGAAAAGGCTTTCGGTGTAAGTTTTCGTGGCAGACAATAAACCACGGCCATTTCTCATTGCGTCGTTGTATGGCGCATTGAGAGAAAGAGTGAGGGGGAGGGGAGTGAATATTCACCGACGACATCAAAATTTATTTCCGGAATTATTCCTTAAACTTTTCGCTATAGTAATTTGCATGGTTTAGAATTTATCGCGCAAGTAGCAGGTGTTTGCATCTACATGTAGCGAAACTGAAGATGTATTAAAACATAGTTACATGACAGTGACAAGGCTTAATTTGAAAAAGATAACTTTAGTTTACATTAGTTTAAAGTTCGATTTCTACTATATTTTGTTGGGAAGCACAAGTAGGAGAAATGCCAATGAAGAACTTTGTGGAGTATCGAATATCACTAATCGATCTTTAATTTAACGATCCACATTAATTTCGCACGCAAACTTTGCTGAGATTAGTTAGTTCGTGAGTGACGTAACTTCAGAAATTTAATTCCAAAATAATTTCTAGTTTTAAACCATTATACAAGCAGCGAGTTCTGCGTTTCTACGTCTTTTCAGGCAGCGGACATACGGACGTAAGGGGGATTAGTGTACGCGCGAGTTGATGACAGCGTGCAAATGCCACGACATATATCGGATGACATGTGTCACAGCGCGCGAAATGGGCATAATTGTCATCGTACCGTTTATTTGTCATCGCTTTGAAAGATCCGTGCCGTTTGTAACGAATTGTGAAACAAGCTTCTATTTTGGATCGCTTTCGCTTCAATTAGTCACGCACGTCTGTTTATCCGTTTTGTTTGTGTACATCAGCGCTCGGAATTAGTTGCACATTTCGGGCCGATTCCCGAGACGACGCCTTCTGTTTCCCCACTACCGCCCGGCC